CACTTAACTGTAATGAAATGTCACCTTATGATCCCTCTCTTCCCATTTTTTCCTTAATGAAAATTACACCAAAGGGCACACTTCATCAATTACAAAGCATCAGTTACAATCTGAGAAAGGATTCAGAAAGAAATCTTTCTTTTTTATTTGAAAAATGTAAAAGGAGCATTAAGTAAACATTTTTTTTCCTGTTTTTAATTGTTATTCCGGCCAACACTCTACACCACAGACATGGAGCAACATCTCACCAAACCTGAGACAGCTTCCTCCTGTAACTTTGTGAATGGGGCATCCTTCAAACCATGTCAGCTGAACACGTCTATACCACTGCCTCCACTTTGAGAGCTCACCCAAGCCAGGGAAACCTTGAACTCACATATGATTTCAAGAATCAGGGAGAAGAAGTGCCCCTTAACAATGCAGTAGACTGTTTCCACTCAAGCCATAAATATCATGAAGTGGTTGCCCATTTGAGGGGGTGGTTCTCTTTTGAAGCCACAGAAGCTGAGGGATTTGGAATAGAGGCAGGGAGCATTCCTGCTATAGACTGAATGTTTGTCTTTCCCCCAAATTCAAAAGCTGAAACCTAACCGCCAACGTGATGGTTTTGGAGGTGGGGACTTGGGAGGTGATTAGGTCACGGGAGTGGAGCCCTCCTGAACGGGATTAGTGTCCTTATATAAAGGACCCTAGAGAGCTGCCTTCCCTCCACTGCCAGGTGAGGACACAGCTAGAAGACAGCAGTCTATGAGCCAGGAAGTGAGTTCTCACCAGACACTGAATCTGCCAGTGCCTTGATCTTGGACTTTCCAGCCTCCAGAATGGTGAGAAATAGATTTCTGTTGTTTATAAGCCACCCAATCTATGGCATTTTTTTTTATAGCAGCAAGAACAAATTAAGACATTTCCTTTCCATAATTGGGAAGCCAAACCTCACTGTGAGCAGGAAAGAATAATATGACCAACTTCCAGCTGGCTTAGTGCTCTTTCTAAAATAACAATCAGTACTATGGACTGCTGGAAGGGAAAGCGTGTAACAATAGTAATTCCAATGACCTTATCTAATAACAGTTATTTGTATAGTCATGTATCCATGAAGTTTGCAAGCAGGCTAGAAATCTACACGATATGGTAAGTTCTATGACTTTTGGTCATCTTCGGGCTCTTTCTTCGTGTTCAGACATTTCTGGCCAACTCGTCAGCCTCGTCGTCCTCGAGAGCTCCTGGATCAGGGCCTGTACCTTTGCTCTCATCTGCATCCCTTGCACGTCGTCCTTGCAGCAGCTAGGATATCCAGCAGCGCAGTGAACAGCAGGCATTCAAGTGTTCTGACCATCATCTCACTTCGTACCTTTCCTTGCTCACAGGCTCACTGCACACCTGCCCCAGTTGATCTTCCATCTTTAGCATGTGGACAAACTGACCCAGAGACTGGGCTTCCTGGGACACAGCACAGCACAGCAAAGTGGGGTCTAGGGCTGTTTCCACTTCTGCCCTTCCCTTCTACTCTCTAACTTCAGTCTGGTTTCCTCCCTACCACACAATGAAATCGCTCCATCAGGACAGGTGGGGACACCCTTAGTCGTCAGTGTAGCAGACACTTTCCAATCCCTATTTGACGATCCATATGACTGTGGTTTCAACCCTCACAGCACGTCTCTCCTTTCATCCATGTCCTTTCCCAAAGCTCCAGGCCTGTAGACCCAACTGCCTGGGATGTTCCCCAAACACCCCAGACTCAGTCTGTCAGCACCAAACCCACTGGCTTCCCCTCACACCCGTGTCCCTAACCTGGTGAATGGCTCCTGACCCACACAGCCTACTGAACGTAGATGATTATCAGCCCCTTCCCTTCTCTGTCCTTCCTCACAGAGCCCTTACTTTGTCCAGGCCCGCACTCCCTCCACACCTGGCCCTCCTCCCAACTCCAGGGGTGGGCCTGATTTGGTCTGAGGGCCTCCCATCCCCCTGGCATGTGACCCAATTCTGACCAATAAGTAAAGGCCGTTGACTGAGGACTTCTGGGAAAAGAGACAGTTCCTCCTTGGATGCTATAAATGTGGATGTGAGTCTGAAACTGCAATTCCAGACTGAGGATGAAGCCGACTCAGAAGGAGGCACAACAGAAGACAGGAAAGAAGCTGAGACTGTGCTAACACGCCGAGCCGCCAAACCCCCCGGTCAGGGACAGTCCGTGATGGGAGATAACCCATCTTCCTACTGTTTATGCTGATTTGGGGTTTTGTTGCTCCTAGACAGAAGTCTCTCTCCTCTCCCTCACACCAATCCCCTTAAGAATCCTGCCAGTTCCCCCCGCTAAAATACACCCCCAATCCTCCCTCCACTCACCTCCATCCCCACAGCCAGCATCCTGGTCATTCGTTGCCTAGACAACTTTAAATGTCTCATCTGGTCTCCTGAGCCTCCTCCCAGCAGCTCAACTTCACATCCCGACCTCTCAGCCTGTCTACTTCGAGGTCAAATCGGTGACATCAGTTCCCCACTTCAGCCCCTGCCCTCACATCCGGCCACTGCTTCCCTCCCTGACCACCGCACGTTCCCTCCCTCAGGTACACCAAGGTTGATCCTACCTCAGGATCTCTGTTTCCTCTGTCCAGAGGCTTCTCCCTCAGATCCCGCAAAGGCCCAGCTCACCTTAGCCTTCACGTCTCTTCTCAGAGACCCCCCCTGACTATATCGCCCACGGCAGCCCCATCAGGGTGCCTCCAGCATCCTCCATGTTGTGACACTTTTCCCTCAAGGCACTGTCACCACGTGAAAGACCCTTGTTGCCTTCTTTATTGTGCCCCCACCAGAACGAGAGCCCCAGGAGGCCAGGCAGCTGAACCCCCGCACTCACCGCCGTATCCCCAGCGTCTAGGGCGGCACCTGGTACCGAGGAGGCACAGGCTGGCAGCCTGTGGCCTATTGCTGATTCCACCGCCTCGATTTCCCTCAGAACCTTGTCTGTCACCACCAGCCCTGCCCCACGTTAAGCTTTAAACTCTTCTCTCTAGAATTCCTTCTAGAAGCACCTCTTTCCCAGTCAACCAGCCTGAATCAATGCGTGCTTTTCCCAGAGGGGAGTCATGGTGAGGATACTTCCGTGAATGAATATACACAAGGATCCTGTGGGTTCTTGGGGAATTTTTAAAATTTTGTGCATTCCTGTGATCATTTGACATTCCGGATCACCCAGCGGAGTCCACTTTTAGCCAAGCACTGCCTATGTTTTTGTGACTGTGCTGGGTGTGTGTTTAGGTTTGGCACCAAGTAGGACCAGCTTTCCAGTTTTACAGGTAATTATAAAAGCACAGAGATGATTTAATTTATAAATAGTGTATCTTTATCATATGAAACCGAAGTCACACCACAGAGAGCTGAATGGATGATGGCTTTATACACATAAAGGGCCACAACTACTTCCATGGGGATCACATGGGCCGTGCACCATATCATGTAGCCATTTGCTTTTAGCAAAACCCATTCCACATGTTAATGTTGTTGGTTTAAATTTTATTGGTTTTGCAGAGATTTCTGGATTCAAAGTTAATTTTAGCTCTAGAGCTGTTTAAAGCCTCTAAGCGTTAAACATTTTAACCTTACTTTAAGTGTTCAGAGATGTAAGTGAACTTTATAATAAAAATAACTGAAGTCACTACTGGGGTCTGTAAGGACATTTTGTTATTTTATACAATGTGCCACATGACATGTATGTGAGTGGTTATTCGTGGCAGCATCCTTTGTGGGAACAAAAGACTCGAGGCAATTTGAAAAGTTCAATCAACAGAGAATTGGTTTTAAAGCATTTGGTTCATCTACATGGTGAGCTACAATGCAGCAATAAAAAGGAGGAGGAACCTTAAGTACTAACAGGAAACAAACTCCATTAAGTGAAAAATCCAAGAGCGCAAAAAATAAGGGGGAAAGATAGAAAGAAAGAACATACATACACACATTTGCTTGTATGTGCATAAGAGATTTCTGGAAAGATACACAAACAGCAGCAGCACTGGTTTCTCCTTGAGAGAGCTGGGTATCTGGAGGGACAGAAGTGGAACAGAGACTTCTCTGGAAATCATTCTGTACTTTTGGAATTCGGAACCACATAAATCTGTTCCAAAAATAAATGGAAAGGTGGCATCTCTCATTACCCACGCTCATATACAGGCATCTCAAACTAAAATGCTTTCAGAGGCTAGGCAGAGGATACAGGTGAGAGAACTCAGTAGGGCTGGCACCCTGGCACCCTGGAGAAAGGATGCCTCATTACAAGTTACCAGGTCAAGTGCAGCCTGTGGAATGCACACACAAAGGAGACCAGGAGAAGGTGAAGAGCTGAATGTGTGTGTATGAAATCATCTGATGTTGATATGTTGCCAAAAAGTGAAACTTTAAAACTTTACTGCTGATATACATCCAGAAGTGTATACGTAAGTGAACAGCTCAATTAATATTCACACAGTGAACACAACAGTGTGAGCAACAGTCAGATCAAGAAATAGACGGCCAGCCCTCTAAAGTCCTCTACTGCTCTCTTCTGTCTCTAGCTACCTACCCACCCCCACTACTACCCTGACTGCTGACAGAGTGGGTTCATTCTACCTGCCTTTGAACAGCGTATGAATAGGATCACCCGGTATTGCGGTCCGACATCCTCTCAACACTGTGCTAGTGAGATTCACTCACAACCTGTGCGGAGCTGCGAACAGCTGTTTCTCATTTTTGATAGTCTTCCATTTATTCATCTGTTCTCCTGTGGGTGGGCATTTAGGTTGCTGCCAGTCTGGGCCTCCAGAAATCAGTCAGCTATGAATATTCTCCTTCATGTCACCCAGTGAGCAGATGGAAGCATTTTTGTTGGGTATGTTTCTAGAGTGGAGTTACTGAGTCACAGGGTCTGTTTAGATTTAAAGGATACTAACAAACAGTTTTCCTACTGTGTTCCAATTGCTCCACGTGCTTGTGATGACAACTTTTAAAAAGCCTTGGTGGGTGAGGGGGATATAGCTCAGTGGTAGAGCACATGCTTGGCATGCAGGAGGTCCTGGGTTCAATCCCCAGTGCCTCTGTTAAGGGGGAAATTTTTTTAATTAAAACAAAACTTGACCAAAGCAAACACCTGTAGGCCACCAATTCATCACCTTTGACCTAGTGCATCTCCAGTTCTCATGAGAGAGAGATCTTTATGAAGAAAGTTCAGATCTCAGCATATCACTCCTTTGATTTAATACTTTGCAATGTCTCCCACTCCTTGGGTAACGGCCAAACTCCTTAGCTTGACATCAAATGCTTTCTGCAGGCCGGCCTTCTTTTTTCTGCCTCTTTTCTCTAATCTTCTCTGTCCACTGTCCACATGTCCATCCCTGCCACTCTGAAGGCCCTGGAGGGCCATCAGGTTCCACAAAGTCTGCATGCCTGAGAATGGACTATTTCCCTGCCTGTGGCTTCCCCTTTCCCCTATTAGGCCAGGCCAATTTGTGTACTTGATCTCTCCACTAAACTACCCTCCCAAATCCATGGGATAGTGTCCTGTCTGCAGTCTCTCTATCCCAGGACTTATCAGAACATCTGGCACATGACAGGTGCTCAGGACATGTTTGTGCCACAAACTCAGGGACTCTGATGTTAATTTTTTTTTTAATGCAGATAGGAGAGGGGGAAAAAAGAAACAAAAGGAGAAATTTTCATCTTATCCTACTCCAATCGTTCTCCCCAGAGGCAACCCCTGGGGACACGTTCTTGTCCATCCTCCGTTAGATACACAATGAATGTACAACTTCATATTCAATACAGCTATTTAGTCAATAGATGCTATGGAGAACATAAAGCAGAGAACTGGAGATGGCGAGTTGCAGTCCCAAACTGAAAGGTCAGGAAAGGCATCAATGAGGTGACATTTCTGCAAAGACCCTAAGGAGGCGAGGAAGAGAGCTGCCCTGGTCTGAAGCAACCCAGGAAGCAGATCAGGCCAAGGGAATAGCAGGTGATGAGGCCCCAAGCAGGGCTGCCCGGCCTATTTGTGGCAAGGAAGGTGAAACAGGGTGGCCAGCAGTGAAAACCGTTTGAAGGGGGCGAGACTGCAGAGGACTTTATAAACCACTCTAAGGACTCAAGACTTACTTGAATAAGGGAAGGCACTAGAGTTCCCGATCGGGGGCTACAGAGGCTGACTAGCGGTTTTCAGAATTCACTTCTTTGATCAAGAGCAGACTCATTATTTTTCGCAGTAGTTCAGTATTCCACTATGTGAAGGCGCCATCGTTTACCTGGGCCTTTCAAATGATGGACATTTGGTCTGTTTCAATCTTTCGGACTCAAAGTACTCCAATGTTTCCTCCTTTCCATGAATTCCAGCTGACAATTTTCTGATCAAAACCTTTTTCTACAGTAACCCAACTCAAATCTGTTCGTTTAAACAGGACAGTTTCTTCTTCATTAAAGAAACATAACGTGATCTCACTGGTTCCGGGATTCCCAGCTCAGAACCCCAGCCCGAAGCTCTTTTTCCACTTCAGAAAGGTGCCCAGGTGAGCAAGTGGTTTAAAAAAATGGGCAGGAGCCCGATGGCCGTGCTTCCCGTTTCACTTCTGCGAGGAGGGGTCGGCCAGGCCAGGGGCCTGAGAGTGTGTCCACGTCCCAGGACCAGGACTCAGGAGCCCACTAGGCTTCCGAGACGAACCGCTAGCAAGCCCTGCTCCTCCAGGAACGCATGACCCAAAAGAAGCTACACAGACAGAGCGGACGCGGAGCAACCTAACAGAGTTGCCGGATCGCCAGTCACGGACGTCGCAAAGACCCGCGCCTGCGCAGTGGCGCCCCGCGCGTGCCCGCGCCTACCTTCCTTCCCACGACCTCCCCTCCGGCGCCTGCGCGCTAGGACCCACTCGCCGCAGGCCCGCGTAGCTGGAGACCTATTAGATAGCCTTTCTTACCAACGGAGATGGGGCGAACTGATTCGTACTTGAACATGTTGTCTCTCCCTTCCCAGTCTATGAGACTAACTACAAACCTTCCAACCCAATTCACCCTAGAAGGGAGACACTGGACCCTCGGGGCTTTAAGGGAGCTGGCGGGCACCCAGGTATCCAGGAGGGTTGTGGGCGGGATCACTCGGAGACCACGTGGCGGGCCTCCGCCAGTCGGCGCGCAGACCGCACTTTGCGGCTCGGCTTCAAACAAACTACCGTGAGGCCAGAGCGGCCTGTGGGGCCCCGCCCCCTTGCCTGGGTCTGGGGCCCCGCGAGACGGCGGGC